AATTTAAGCTCTATTTCTGTATGGGGATAAATTGAATAGAACCAAAATTTCTGTATTCGATGTTGAATAAATTCAAAAACGTGTGGTTGGTTCTTCAAATTATTTCACCCTATAATCAAATCATATGTGCTGGTGTCTGGGTTGTCGGTTCATTCTTTAAAGCTGATTGACCCTCATACATCCAATATGACGATTTAAATAATATAATATATATATATATAAAATATATATATATATATATATATATATATGTAATTCATAGTATATATTAAATATATATATAATTAATATATATAATAAAGTGTTTTTAAAGGTTAATATGTCTTTTTTTTACATTCAACTTCATCACTTGATATGACAAAGGAGAGGTGCTGAAACAAAATGGCTATTTTTGTTGTATTTTATAACATGTTTATGTTATAATTTTCGAAAGTTTAATTATATTTGCTCTATAAAAATTTATTGAGCACTCTTTTAAAATATGTATTTGTTGGTTATTGAATTTCTTCCATATATACCAATCCTATACTTTAAATATATATATATTTATATATCTATATATATCTCTATATCTATCTATCTTTCAAATCTATATATATATATTAATTCTTTTTAAAAAAAAAGGAAACTGACAGTTAACACCATAAAACATGAGTAATTTGATTATATATGGTAAAGGCCATATTTATATTTTCATCCATCCACATTTTTTGAAGGGCCGAATACAGAGATCTATGCACCGAATGTTATTTGAAAAATAATTTTAGATAAACGAACTCCGCAGGTTTTGAATTATAGAAACTGTCCTTCTCCTCCAACCAGTTGCCATCCAAGGTTATAGAACCCAGTCTGTCCATTTATTCTTTTTATTTCAATTTAAATGGAGGGAGAAAAAAGGATTTATATATTTTTAATAAAAACGTATTATCTTAAATATTATTTTCCTATTTTGTTCGATATAAATTCAATTCGCTCTATAAAAAATATTGGAATTAATTTAGTAAATTTGTATAAAATCACTCGAATCATTTTTTCTCCTAATTTTAATATAGGGTATCTAATTTATAATCATGGATATAAATATATATATATATATATATATATATATATATATATATTAAATATGTTTCCGAAGATATATAATCATTGGAAATTTGTTTTTCAAAATTTATATTATTTAAAGTATTTTATTTATATATATATTTTGTTGAAAAAAATTTTATTTTAATTAAATGTTTTTTCGTGAGATAATAATAGTTTAGAATATAACTTATATATTGATTAAATTTTTTTATTTAGGAAAATGTGTATTCACATTTTCAATTTTTTCAAATATGAATGCACATCTTGACATGTAACGAATAAAAAATATTTAATATGAAACTTTTAAATAAAATTTCTAAATATAAATATATCATATATAATAATTATTTATTTTAGCAATTCATTTATAATTATATATTTATGTTCCCAAAAATAATCATCCATCTCTTTATATATGATTTATCGAAACAAAATTTGCTCAATAGTATTTGATCATGTATCGTCTGGGGAACCGCTGTTTCATAATATTATATGATATAAATTTTATATGTTTTAAAATTATGAGTAAAAAAATTGAAAATTTGTGAAAACCAGATTTGGTTTCAATTTTTCCCTTTTATGGATCTCCAAAACTTTCCTTATTTTTTGCAATTTCTTGGTCTTAACGTGAACCAAAAAAAGATTTGAAATACATTTTTTAAATTTTTTAAATTTGTTTAATATCAAATATGTTAATTATTTAAATAAAAAAAATTTATTTTAAATATTTCATATATATATATATATATATATATATATATATATATATATATTTGATATATAATTGAAATTTTAAATGATAAAAAATTCGATATGTATTTATAGGTGATTTCAAATAAAAAAAAGTGCTAGAATATATTTTTTTAAAATCTTATATATTAACGGATTTTAAAAAATGTAAAAAAAAAATATCGAATAAATGTTTTTTACACACACAAAACATTTAACACAAAAAACACACACACACATATATATATATATATATATATATATATATATATATATAATATATAATTATATATATATTTATATTTTATATAAATTCATCTTTTATGATATATATATTTTTGATATATTCATATATTTAATATAAAATATATGATATAAATAAAGTAATATCCTCAATTTATAATTTAAAATGATAAATAATTTTGAGTTTAAACATATTTAAAAAAAGAGTTTTATCTTTTAAATTAAATATATATACAATAGATTTTGGAATAAGAATATTCTTATTTAAAATATGATATAGTATATATTATATTTATATATAATATTATTTAAAAATTAATATTAATATATATTTATATATATATATATATAATATATATAGATATTATATATATTAGATAATAGATAAATATGGATAGATATAATAATAAATAGACAATTTTTTTCATAAATAATTTAGATATATATAAATAGAAATATATATATATATATAATATATATATAATATATATATATATATATAAATTTTCTAATTTTCAATAGATTTAAATAGAAAAAAATTGAATAGTTAAACATATATATGATAGATATATATATATTATAGACATATATATATAGATAAATAAATAATGCTAGATATAGATAGATAGATAATTATATATAGATAAAAAAAGACTTGATATTATAGATATAATATTTATATTTAATCGGTATAATAAATTTATCATTTAAGATAGATATTTATTTAGATAAATAGATTTTAATTTTCCTTATAGACTAAATATAGATAGATAGATATCTAAAAATCAACATACCGAGATTTTATATTATATTTTAGATAGATAAAAATTTAGATTTTTTTTTTAAATTTTTTGAGATTAAATATTTTTTATTTCTATTTTTTTTTTTTTTTTTTTTTTTTTTATCATCCTCCTTATTTATTTCTTTTCATTTTCATATTTTTTTTTAATCTTTAATTTCTTCCTGATATTTTTTCGGCATCTTCATGTATTTATCACAACAAGCCCGTTTTTTTTTGTGACACCTTTAAAACTGAACAAAGGCCATTTTTTTGTAGCGCAATTCATTAATCTTGATTTTTCCTTATATTTCGATTATAATTATTTTATTATAATGATAGTGCATATTTCAGCCCAAAGCGTTCAGGGCCCTGAGGGTTTTTAATGGAGATTTTTATATATGATTTTGATTTTTTTTTTCTTTAAATAAAATTATTTAAGAGTGTTTTTTATTTCAAAATTTTTTATAACGCTCTTTTATAGTGGCAAATTTCGTTTCGCAATTTTTAACCTTTATAGACATCTATATTGAATAGTTTAGTCTGGCAATATAACAAATATATATATATATATATTTGATCGTTTTGTTTTGTTTCCGGTTTGGGATTGCGTTTTGGTTTCTTTTTTTTCCAGACACTCTTGAACTATCTCTGCCTTTTAACTTAATTTTTTTATTTATATATTGGCCTTTAAAAATTTGCGTCATCCGTAATTGCATCAATATTTTTCATCCATGCTTTATTGTCTTACTGTCGATTATATATCCTAACGTCATTTTTATTTATATATTATTCATTTAAAAAATAAGATATATTTCTTCAATTTTCAAATTTTATATCGTCCGGATGAATATCCTTTGAGTTTTTTAGGTTTCTGGTAAAAATACATTTGCTCTGTCATATTAAATACATCGATCTTTATATGTTTTATTTAATTTTAATAATAATATTATTACCCACTATATACCAATGGATCGATTATATATATATATATATATATATAAATAAATTTATAGATATATATAAACATTTAGAGCTATTATAATTCAGACAGTTACTATCAAATGGAAAAATAAAAAAAATTCAACAAATTCTACGTTTTTTATTTAAACAAACAAACAAAAATGGTGATGGAAAATTTGATATTTTTTTCTTTAATCCGATTACTTATATATATATATATATATTTTATATATATATAAATATTTTTAATATATATTTATTTCCCAATCTGGTGAACGAAAATTATGAACAAGACGAAAAAAGAATTAAGAACGTTATTAAATGCATAACATAGTTGACAATAATATAAAAAAATATATAAATATATTTATTTATTTGTTGTTAAAAATAAAACCTCTAACCTTATAGTTAAAAATAATAATTCACCTCCTAAAACAAAATTAAATAGGACAGATATTATTTACAAATTTAAATGCCCATTAAGGAATTGTATTTCTGATCAATCAAAATTTGTAAATAATTATATAGGCCACACTACAACATATTTGACAAGCAGACCCACTCTACACCTTTCTGACCATAGCTCAATTAGATCTCATTTAAATATTCATGGAGACCTACTGGACACTATTCGTAACATACTTGTTGACAACACTAATATAATAGCATCATCTACATGCGAAAAAAAAAGGCTAAAAATAATGGAAGCCTTATTAATAAAAACAAAAAAAACAACACTTAAAAATATTAACTTTGAACATGGACATAATATCTTGACCGTGTTTTGAAAAATGAAAACATTATATAAATACATACATACAACAAACCATTTCTTATTTCAACAGTTAAAATAATTTAATCCTGGAAAATGGCTAAATGTATAGCCGAAAGCGCTCAGATGAAAAGAATATTCGGACAGTTTTTATATAATTTATCATCCGAAAAGAAAAAAAAAATAGATCGCATGAGAAATTGTATAAAAAAATAAATAAAAGCACTTTGTCTGTCGTTTTCAATGAAATGTGCTTGAAAGAAGGATTGCTGCCTAAATACACAAATATATATATATATATATATATATATATATATTAGTATTATTATTGTCTATCTATAGAAAATTTATCATTACCTTTCTGTTAATAGAAAAATTTAAAAAAAAAAAATTTATCTAAATCTTTTTTTTTTATCTATCAATCTTATTCAGACCATCCTATCTAAATCTTTCTATCTATCTATGTAATAAACGATGGTTTTTCTATCTATCTATCTATCTATCTAATATTCTTAGTTTATTATCTATCTATCATATCTATTATTATCTAAAAATATATTAAAAATTCTGGTCTATCTAATACATTTATCTATCTATCTTTCTATTAATGGTCTATGGAAATTTCTGGTATTTTCTATTATATATATTATCTATCTATAATAAAATCTATATATATATATTATATATATTTTTCATCTATCTATCTATATATCATATCTATCTAATATTTTGATCTATCTATCTATCTATATCATTTCTTTAATATTTCTATTTATTAAAAATCTATCTATCCATATATCTATCTATCTATCTAATATTTTGATTTATCTATCTATCTATCTATCTATCTATCTATCTATCTATTTCATTTTTTTTAATATTATTTTCATTATTTTTTTTATTCTAACTATCTATCTAAGATCTATCTATCTATCTCATTCCTTTAATATTTCTATCTTTTTTTTTTTTTAATCTATCATTCTATCTATCTATCTATCTATCTATCTTGATTAAAAATCTATCTATCTATCTATCTATCCAATATTCTGATCTATCATCATATCTATCTATCTATCATCTATCTATCTATCTATCTATCCAATATATAATCTATCTATCTATCTATCTATCTATCTATCTATCTATCTATCTATCTATCTCCGTCTTCTGTGGGCTGCCAAATGAGAAAAAAGGCCTGACCCATAAAAAAACGGGAGAAATTCTCCATGCACAGGTGGTTAAAAAAATGCCCATTTTAAATGCATAATAGGTTTGCAGATGACGCTGGCGTCAAGAAATATCGAGGGCTCCTCGTCTCTCCTCCTAAAAAGTGCGCCACTAATACGCAAAGAGACCGCCAAAATGTCCGATCCTATATATATATATCATTTGTATATATATATATATATATATATATATATATGAAATGTATGTTTTGGGAAGCAATCCCTTTTTATACAAGTTTCATTGAAGACAAATTTCAGTGCACTGTGGTTCGTACACGTATTTGTTTTTCTGGACACAATAATAAAAATGTTTTTATATTAATATATTTTTTTTTCATAAAACACTTATTGGTCATTTCTTTGACAGCTAAAGTTATCTCAAATAAAGGGCCTGGAAACCCCGCTGTTTGGGTCGTTGACTGAAGGCGTGTATTTTACTCTCTAAATACGACTAACCTACAATTAGTGAACAGATCCTTAGCATGGGACATGTGAATGATTATCACTAAGCGCTCTACATTTAAAGCCTTGTACCAGATTAAATCAAGCATAATTGGCACCTACCGTCGCCCTATACTTTTCCATATATTCCGGTATAGTATCTTATTCTATTCAATCCTCCCCGGGTATCCCACTAAGATAGCCTTGTACCATACTTTGTGTATTCTACAACAGTGGCTCTCAACCTCTTTTTGCTTCCAGCGTCTCATGTGCGCGTGTTTATCGTTGCTTGGAAATCATCCATGTAAACAATAATAGAATATCATCACTGTCTTGTCCGTGTGTTGCTTAATATATTGGACAATAATTATCATCTTTGATAATGGCTTATGTAAGCTGAAAGCTTAGATTGGATTAAAAAATATGGATCAATATTGTGATTTTCTTTCTTCATTTAATGATAATGTTATTAAGCTTATCAGACGTTATGAAAAGAATTTACATAAAATAAATAGACAACACTTCTCTATATTATTTAATGAAACATGTATGAATATATATATATATATATATATATATATATATATATATATATATATATAGCTGGTCGATCGGGAAAAGCGTTCAATTAGAATGGAGCAAAACAGCATCATATTTAGATTTAACAAGTTTATCTCTGTCTTCAATTACTTTTACGATAAATAATTGGAAATGTAAAAAAATTTTTTAATTAATGTAATTTATGATATAATAAAAATAGTCTGTGTTTATTCAATCTTAAGTCAGCCAAACACATGAAGGGGTAAAAATTATTTGATCAAAATAGACCCAAAATATCCCACAATTATTTTAGAGTTTTTTCAAATTAATATTTGTTTTTGTGATACCAGGGATTTAAAAGAGAATAACGCTTATAAATTTTTACTGTGAAGTTTGATGAAAATTGATTGAAAAGTCAACGAAAATATAAAAAATTTTGATCTATCGCCATTTTTTCAAATATTTACGCGGGTTTTCAGTATATCTAATTGGACTAATTATCAAGGTTAAATGACTTTTAAACAAACAATTTATCGTTGACTACAATTGATGAATTTTGTATATATTAGATTGCTTGAAAATGAGAAATATTTTAGTTTAAAATTTTGTGTTGAAATTAATTTTTTATTTTTCGCGGTTTTCGAAAAAAAATCTGGCGGCGTAATAAAAATGAGGTATCGTTGAGCTTTTTCGTAATGCAAGTAACCTACATACCGAGGTGAATGATTTTCAAATCGGAGGAAAAAGTTAATTTTATCGATTTTTGATTGATTTTATCGATTATCTTGTTTTTTATTTTTTCAAATTATCGATTTTTTACGCTAAGAATCAATCCTTTTTATATGTAAATGTATGCCAAGTTTGATCAAAATTGGTTGAATGAATCCCAGTGAAAAGGAATTTTAATTACATTTCACTCACAGACATCCTCTGTTTTATATATATATATATATATATATATATATATATATATATATAATGGACTCTCCTGTCGGTTTCTTTTATGAGGATCTGCCAGCTTATTGATTCAGTTATGAAAGTTTTTCGCGATAATCTTAAATGACATTTAAAACCCGCTAGTGATTTACAAAGGAGGCCACATATGGAGCAAGTGTGAAATTGAGAGATGAGATCACTGTTAGATTGGCTGACCTTTTAGATCTTGCTCTCTTTTCTTGAAGATGATTCAGACAAGGAGATTGAAAATTGCTGAGTCCACTAAAACACGTTGATCTCCATTCTATCCGCTCCAAGGCCAAACGCTCAAAAATAATGTTATGTAGTATATTGACGCTGACAAGTTGTTTTTCAGCTTGTCTTTGTATATTAGCCATGAGCGTCCTACATTCCTGTAGCCCTGATCTGACTGATTATTCTTTTTATCTTGGGTATCCTGTCATCAGACATTCTCAAGACATGACCAAATCCATTTAACTGAGACTGTATGGTATTAGTATTATTATATATATATTATATTCCAATTTCAAATATTATATTTTTCGTTTTTAAAAAACGAAAAAAATCATTACTGAAGAATTTTCAATTATTTGTTTAAAATCAAATTTATCCTGCTAATTTTCAGAAATTACAACCGCTACAAAAAATGAACAAACTTTCTGGACAATATTAAAATTCATTTTTATTAATTTTTTCGCCCTCTTTTTTAATAATGAAAAATTTAATACACGTCAACATGTAAATAAAATTTAAATAAGAACATGTTCAAATTTTAACGTATGAAAAATATATATATACGTCGTTAAAATATACGTAAAATTAATATTTCACTTCATTTTTTTTTTTAAAATATACTTTGATCCTTTTGTAAACTATTCATCAAAAAATTTTCATTTGCAATACTGAAAATGTTTACTTCGTTCATTTTCATTGTTCAGTAATACGCCAAAATATTCTATTAACCCTTCAGTGTTAAAATATTTTTTATCTGTTTGTACACATATATATTGGTCCTTGCTGTTTCTCCAAAGAAAAGCTAGCAGTGATACTGGTAAAGGAAAAAAGGAAAAGAAAAGCAATTGTTGATGATATTGTCTCTTCCTATTCATATTTCATTTTTTGACGAATATTACAATTTTTATTATTCTTTCTTTTTTCTTTCTTTAAAAAAAAAATTACTTTTTTTTTCTTTTTTATTTTTATTTATAACAATTATTTTTTGTCTATTTTATTTATCTATCTATCTATGAATCTATCTATCATCTATCTTTTATATCTATCTATTTCACACGTCGAACAAATCTGTTTTCAAACAGAAAATTTTGAGAAATTAAATACCTCAAATATAAACAAAAATTTTTATTGAAGAAACAACATTGCCGAACCATTTCTGAAAAAACGGAATCATTTTTTGATAATACCGCCATTAATGTTGTATACATTCATGTATTGTCTTTTTTTTTTTCCAATTTTATTGTCGTCTGCCTTTTTTTTTTTTTTTTTATTAATCCTCAAACATGGCTCAAAAAAAAGCTAATTTAAGTGATATTGGTAAATTAAAATTTGTCTTTTTGTTGATTAAATATTGTCTCTTCCTTTCAATTTCATAAATCATTGATTTCAAATTAAATTTGATATATTATTCTTCTAAATAAAGAGACGATCAAAATTTCCTTCCCCCATTTTAAAACAATAACCCCTATTCTTATATATATCTTCCAATTTACGCTTTTCAACTTACCTACTTACAACGTTTGTAAAAACTAATATTTTGTTTATTTTATTTATCTGTTTAATTTTGGGTTTATTTATTTTTTTAATAGATTAATAATTTTCATTAGTTTAGTTTACGCTTTTTGGAAAATATAGTTATTAAAAGACTAAAAAAAAATTCTTTATTTTTTTATTTTTATTTATTTATTAATCCATTTTATTATTGATTTAACATTTTTTGGAAAAAAAAAGATCAGTTCAGAAATATTTAAATAAATCAATAGACTTCAGGAACAAATTAAATTCGTAAACCGAGGTTCCATTGTAACGATTATAATTCTTTTTGCAAAATGGTAATGTTTGGATATATAAATTATGATATATATATATATATATATATATATATATATATATATATATATATATATATATATAACCATGGAATATTAGTATGTTTTTTTGTTTTTTTTTTTGAATTTGTAGGTTTCTTTTGAATTGATCGTATTTACGAAAAAGTCATCAAATGGAATTTAATTTTGACCATGGAATATTAGTGTTTAAACCTTTTTATTTTATATATATATATATATATATATATATATATATATATATATATATATATATATTGTTAATTATTGTATGTTAAAAATTCAATTTTGCATATATCTTGTGGAATTTGGCAATAACTTTTTTTAAACATTAAAGTGTCTTTTAATACGTCTTTTTTTAGGCCATTTCTTTTATAACAAGCAGACTGAAAATAGAAATATTGAATTTATAAATTCAAATATTTCAGACCTTCAAAAGTTTAACAAAAAATATTGTATATATAATATTTTGCAGTAAACATATATTTTGATTGTAAATATGTCACATATATATATATATTAAGGTTCAATTATCATCTGTGCGTTATATGAATATATAATATATATTTTTTTTAATATATTCTCATGCACTGCATAAAATGTTTTCAATTGAACAGCATAAACGAGCATGCAATGGCTTTTATTTTGGCCATAAACAATAGTTTGTTTAAATATATGAACAATATTTGTAAACTTGAAATTTTAACATTTAATGTTTTTAATTGTTAAAAAATATTTGTTGAAATTATTTAAATCCTTAATTAAAAAATCCAAAGAAAAATTTCAATAGATAGATTTAAATAATATTCTTTTTTTTAAAATTGGTCCAATTTATTGGAATATGAATTAAATTTTATTTTGTAATTAGAAGAAAATCTTTTAGATCATTGAATAATTTATAAAATCTGTGACTATAAATTATCA